TATTGATAAATCAATTCAAAATTTAATTAATAGTGTTGGTTATATATCAATTAGAAAAAATGAATAGCGTTTATTTATTATAAATAATTAAATAAAAATTAAGTTGTAAAAAAAAATATTCGTTTTTAATAAAAATATTAGAATCATAATAATTTTCTAACTTATATTTTGTTTATATATTTATTTATTTACTTAATCCAATTCACTTGATGAATTAATTCTTGAATGTGAATTTGACTGTGATGCTGATGATGAGCTTCCGCCAAATCTTCCACCACCGCCACCGCCACCGCCACCACCCATCATTGGTCCTTGAAATAAGCTACTCATAAGATCTTGAAAGACATTGAATTGTTGTGGTCTTTGTGGTTTTATATTAAAGAATACGTCGCCAATTTTGTTTAAAAGCTACGTAATAAATGTGCAAATGTAAATATGTAATGATAACAATAAATATTAAAATAAAATAAAATATAATATTAAAATAATTTCTCCCACGCACACTCTCAATAAACTTACATTGTCGGATTGATCGATCGATAAAACGCTCTTATATTTATTTCTTAAAGAAATAAAAAGATCTGCCGCATCTCTTTGAACCGTCAAAATTAATAGTTGTAGAAAATTTAATAATGGTAGTGAATAAATTGGAATTTCAATAGGATCACCCGTTATTGTTGGTCTATATTGGGCAACTCCTGTTTTTATATCATTTGACTGTTGTTGCTGTTTGGAAGAAATAAATGTGTCAAAAGAAATTTTTGCATCTTTGATACTTCTTAAACATAAATATCTATAATGAATAATAAGTTTAAGTTTAAATATATATATATATGTATATATGTATATATATACATTTATAAATAAAAACATATATATGTAATAAAAAACTTACTGAAGTACTGCACGTGCTATATATAGTCCTGATTTGTCAAATTGATCTTTTTCAGACCATTCTGCTAACATTTTACCATATGATTTACTACTTTCAGATGTTCCAGCCAAAAAATGAGGTTCAGCTTCTGAATAATTCTTATCTAAAAAAGAAAGGAATCAATCAATATTATTATTTTATTATTATTAATATCGCAATTAGTATATCTTCTTAATAATAGTAATTATAATAGTATTAATAGTAATAATGATACCTTTCCAAAATAATTCACCGACATAATGGTGTAATTCAGGATCGCCTGCTCGACTTTCGCCAAATTTAACAGACCAACTATAAATAAATATAACTCAATATTATATATTACAATAAAAGATATATACAAATGAATGAATTGATTTTTTTCACCTAACTGCTGCATCGATAAATTTTTTACGACCAATTTCATTAGGTGGAAATAATTCCAATAATTGAATAATTCGAGCTTTATTATATTATTATTGTTATTATTATTGTCAATGCAATTTTGTTTCCATTGTAGAAAAAATATAAATAATTATCATTTTTTTATTTTTTTTTACCGAATAATGATTATTTTACAAAATGGTATAACATACATCTCGATTCATCAGTTACAGGTAATTGTTCTTCAATGTAAGCTTCAATCATATACAATGCTAAATCAGTTCCACTGCCACCTTGTTGATGTTTAAGTAATGTTTGAGCTCCAGAAAATAAAAGTTCTACTGCATTACTGTACTTTTTCTGTTTAATATAGCTATATAATATGCGTATATATTCGTGTATGTACGTACATATGTTTGAAATAATATTAATTTAAATATTGGTTTCTTGAAAAATTTTTATTCGTTTACTTACCGTCTACATACAGTACGATACATTTGATGAGCTTCATAATAATTGGCATTATCAACTGACTCTTTAAGCTTTTGTAAAACTTTATCAGTTCCTTTTACATGATTATTATTAGCCATTGTTGTATAATCAGCTATTTATTATATTTTATATTTTAAGGTAACTGATAATATCTAAAAATTCATGAGATTTTTGTCATGTTGGTGTCACCAGCATAGTGGAAATTTGAAATGTTACACTAATTTTTATATTGTGCAACGTAGCTTTACAATACACGGCAAATATTCTGGCAATAAAAAAGTAAGTGATAAACTGGATTTGAATTGGATCTGAACTTGATCTCCAATTTAGAGAGGAGACAACTATATACTGGTGAAGTTTCAGGAGCAATGAGTTCTGTATAACAATTCGTGTAACAACAAACTTCCACTATGCTGGTGTCACCTTAATAACATATGGGGCGTAGCATAGATAAAAAGTCCAATCATTGGCTATTGATATCTACCAATAACAAGCAAACTCACGTGATTGGTCAAAATTATTATTTCCCGATCAAATTTGGAATTTCTAAATACTACATATTAATATTAATATGTAATTTGAATAGAACGAATAATTCGAATAGTTTGATATTGAATAAAACGAATAGTTCAATAAAATGAATAATAATAATTCGAATTAAAATAAGAAAATAGAAACTCTGGCTTTTATCCTGCTATGATGAATTGTATTTTGCTTTTTGAGTAAATGTATATTTTTTGTCATTCTAAGTAATGTAGGTGGACCCCATCTCAACTAAATGTCTATGCCATTGAATTCTGCACTAAAATTCCAGACGTAAAAATGAATGTCAAGAGAAATTTTTTTTAGCTGGCTAAGCCATTTAAAATTCCTTAGCCGGCTAATATCACTACTAGAAAATATAGAAGTATATAATTTTATTTTACTACAATCTAATATAATTTTGAGTATATTTTTGCATTAGAATAATTATTAAAAAATTTAGTCAAAAATTTTTGGTGTGAGAAGGTTTTAAAAAAAAGATGTATACAAAAAATCAGCAATATAATTTTTTATTTTCAAATGAATCCAAACTTATTTAATTATGCTTTGCAATCATGTAAACCCACCTTCACCTATCTTTCAATATTTGCTGAGATATACAACCTTTCGTCATCGTCGTTATTTTCGTTAAAATGTTGGGTGAACAAATTAAAAACAATATAGCAGGTGGAGAATGTTTTTCCAAGGCAACAAAATTCTGAAACAAATTTAAACAACAGGGAAAGATTGTGAGATAGTAATTGCAATTGTGATTGTGATTGTAATTATAGAAATTATGGTAAAAATGAATAATAATAATATTTAAAGAAATAGAAATTATATTTACTTTCCCATAAACATACAAACGAATTATTTTATTAATTTGTATTTAATATTAATATCTTTTTACTATTATGGGAGCTTAATTGCGGTTGATTTAATTTAACTGATTAAGCTTTTGTTTTGTAAGGATATATGGTGGAACTGTGTTCAAAATATTAATATTTTATTATTATTATGGCTTGGAAGAACTCAAACTCAATACATATCAGCTGATTTGGTTTTTGATCCTTTTTTCAAACCTTATATCTTATTGTGTCTCAACATTAAACACGTTAAACACGTTAAACATGATGTGTAAACTGGTCAATAGAATTATAATTAACCCCAAAAAATTTAGTTGCTCCGCTAAAAAAACTATTTTACTATTTAATACAAAATCAGCGCATATAGATAAAATAAAAAGACAAATAATTATAATGAATAATTTAGGAGATTAAATTAATCATCCATCGACTCTTTCTTTTAATTATTAGAATCTAATGAAATCAAATGTAAATAAAATATTGTCAGTAATGATTAATGGATAGTAAGTTCCAATTAATTAATTAATAACAAGTTTTTATTTACCTTCAGCATTTAAGAGAAAAGAGCTAAAATCAAGACTATTCAATGAACTATCATTACTTGTATAAATTTTTAAGCTTTTTGATTTAGCAATATCTTCATCTAAGATTCTACTTGTATGGTATGCACCTGGATGTGATTCATATACTTGTTGTGAATCACTACTACCACCACTACTAGTAGTATTATTACCATTATCATCATTTTTATTTTTAATAATTTCTTCAAATTTATTAACAGCAAATATCAAAAGCTCTCCACTGGTTGGTCTTTTTGATAGATCCACATCCCAACATCTCTGCATCATTTGTGCATAATCTTCAGGCATTCCAGGTAATATTGGTGGTCGTAAACCTTCTGCACATATATCAAAAATCAAATGATGATTGTGAGCTCTATCATCAAATGGTGGGTGACCTGCAAATATTTCCCACATTAACATCCCAACACTATAGAT